ATGTGATGCAGCAGGTCGGCTCTGCCAGGTACCTGGACCACTGCTGGTCACCAGGAGCCACCACAGGATGCCCAGATGGCCAAAGCCAGGTGGGATTCCAGTGGCCACACCCCTCATGCTTCACAGCTGGATGATCCCACCTCTCCTGATGTGCTGTCACTCCAAGGATGGTCCATGGCCAGCAGGACTCTGCCCATGCGGCAGCAGAACATCCCTGGCAGCAGTAGACATGGTGCAGGAGTTTGCTGAACACGAGATCCAGGAGATCCGGATACAACTCCATGCAGCTCTCTCGGGTGGCAGATTTCAACAGTAAATCCAATTTTGTTTGACATTAATCCCAACTTTTCAGCCCACCACAGATTATCCTTTCGGCAACAGCACTCCATGCGGGAAGAGCTGCGACTGAAAAGCTGCTTCTTGGTTTTCTTTCCAATGGATCCCTCCGAGGAAGCATCCACACCTGGATAAGCATCGGAGCAGTCCATGGGGAGTGCACAGGGCACGGATTCCGCTCCATTGCTGGCACACACATCCCTGATGGCTCCAGGCAGCTGAGTTGCATTAAATCCGACTGGAAAATTTCAGATTGGTTCTTCATCAGAAATCCCAGGCCATGGGGTTGGGAATATTGCGCTCAGTGACCCCACATCAGCTCACAAATGTAAATATCCCTGGATAAGCTCCTTCCTCCCCTTGGGAGGATAATTCACAGTTTAATTCACCCTCATCACTGAGATGGTTTCCTTTTCCAGGGATTCCCTCAGTTTTAGCTGCTTCTCCAGGTTTGTGAGGAGCTGTGCTGTGACAAGGCCGGGTACAGGAAGAAAAAGACAGGGACCTGACAAAGTCCCTAATCCCATGAAGAAATCCAACCAGGAATTTCAGAACAGGTGTCATGCCAGGAGGGCTGCAATGGGACAGGGACTGAGGCAGCTCTGGAGTGGCCACAGAGTTGGGACCCACATGGGACCAACTCAGCACCTCCTGCTCCACGTGATCTGGAAGTGAAAGATGCTCCACATCCCAGATGCAACCAGGATCCAAGGCATGTTATGGATGCAGTTATCATACTAACCCTATCTGCTTTCACCCCACAAGCCACATGTGTCCTTTATTCCCCTTGCTGGAATTAGGAGCTAATTCCATGTTGGTAACAGACATTACTTTTTCCTCCTGCTCATTTTGTTCCTCCTCTCCTTCCCCAGGCATCCAAGGGTCCAGCTCATGGCAGTATTTATAGGAATAGCCAATTCCAAGGGCCATGCCATCTCTCCACCCACATGCAGAGGCTCAGCAGAGCCTGGTCACAGGAAGGACACTGAGCCCTGACCGAGGGCACCATGGGTTTGGGATGTGTTCCCTGAGGTCCCAGCAGAGCAGCCAGCAATGGGACCCTTCCCTGCCCATAAGAACTATCCCTGGCATGAGCACATGCAATCCCAGGAGAGAAGCCACAGCCCCAGGAAGCAGCAACATCTCAGCAGGGAGTGGAAATCATGAAAGTCAAGGAGGAGCCTGTGGAATGGTTCCAGAGGAGCCACAGCTCACCTGGGAGTAGCTGCTGGCATTCCCATCAGGTAATGCCCATCCTGTTATCCCACTCCTCGCTGCACAATTCCAAGGAGGTTATCTGATTCCTCTGCCCTTCTCCCACTTGGAATCCTCCTGGCCATTTGGGGATGTCCATGTAGACTGCTCAGCTGTTGGATCCATCCCTGTGGTGCGTGTGGCACTTTATGCCACGGAGATGAACACTCTGATGGCAGAAGCTGATGGAGCCAGTGATCCAAGCAAGATGCTTTTCCAAAGCAACATTCCCAAATGCTTTGTTCAGGGTTCCTAAAGCCTAGCTGAGACAAGCTTTGCCTCCACCTTCCCTGCCTGACCAGCAGAGACTCAAATATTCCAGTGACAGCAGCTGACAAAAGCAGATTGGAAAAAAACTAAGTTAATTCCTGCCCATCTTGCTCCATCTCCCTGGAAAACCCAACAAATTGTTCACACCAAGCCCTAGAGCACCCAAATCTGCTCCCAAGCACTCTGAGCTCCTGCACCCCACCAGACTCACGTGGGAAGCTGGGACAGGGACAGGAAGAACAGCTCAGCACTGGTTTGTTTTCTAAATCAATACGACTTTTCAAATTTATTTTTTAAGAATTACTTCTAATATATCTTTCTCACAGAAGGAGGGAATAGGGAATGCTCTCATTCCATCTGTAAACACTGAAATACAGATCTGGGAAACCAGGGAAGAGACACAAAAAAGTGCATTTTACAAAAATTATCAACTAAAATATATTTTACATGTATTACGTTTCGATTTAAATTCTACCGACTGCATTTTTTTCAGTTTCAAAAAATATTTCCATATCTAATAGATTAAAAAAGCAGGAAATCTTTTCATTATGGATAAGACATTTCAACTCATTTACATGCTGTTTGCACAACAGCATCAGCAACCATGTGAACCTCAAACAATGTTCTTGGCCTGAAGCAGATTCAACATGGGAAGAGTCAGGTTTTTCCTCTCCAGAGCCTGTTCCAGACCAGGGCAAGAATAATTTCTCTGCTACCTGGAGAGGCACCAGGACAAGGTGGGAGCAGGAGGAGGGATTTCAGTGAGTTACTGTGGTTCCAAGGCTGGGCTTCCCACCTGGCCCTGACTGCAGCAGTGTTAGGTTCACCTGCCCAGTATATCACACAGCGTCCTGCATCCGATGGCATTGCCAGAGGGAGGTGGGCACAGCAGCTCACCTGCATCAGGCTGGGGGGCAAAGGAGCCCCCATGGAGTCAAGCATGTGGATTCAGACCTTCCCACCACCTTCCACCCAGCCCAGGGTGCAGCTGCTCTGCTCCCCCCTCACTGCTCTGCCCATGGCTGGGCAGCCACCATCCCTTCCATGCCGTGAGCAGGAGTGGCTCCGCTTCTCCAGCATCCTCCTTCCTGCTATAAGGGGGGGAACCACTTCACATCCTGCCCCCAGCAGCATCAGAGACCACTTTCTCCAACGCCTCCTTGCACCCCTTCAGCCAAGTGCCCCCAGCCCAACCACATGATTCCAAGAGACCCCCATTGCCAAGGGAATTGTAAAGGAGAGACCCAGGCAATCCCTCTGACACCAACAGCATCTTGAGGTATAAATGAGAGAACATGCTTCACCCACCAATTCTTGCTTGCGCATCTAGGATCCCCCTTCCCAGAGCTGGGAGGTCTCTCCTGG